AGGGAGGCAGCTGAGGGTGGGGAGGGAAGAAAGGGATGGGCAAGCAGCCACTCCCTGGGCCAGCTCCCCCGCTGACCCCAGTAGGCACCCCCACACTCTGGAACCCACCAGGGTAAGGGGCCCCAGGCCCATCCAAACCGGGGCCCACAGCAGCAGCACCGCCCCACACCACAGGGTCCGGGGAAGCCCACCCGACCACACCGCAGAGAAAACTGCACCCACCCCATCATTCAATCTTCTCCCAGACTACACAAGACAGTAGACACACAGGTTGAGTCATTCTCCACCTCTCCAATATCTCTCCCCCACCTGCAGAGTGAGCTCCTGACCTCCTGCATAGATGTAACAGCCTCCCCACCAGTTACAGAGCTCTCCAGTTGGTCCGATGCACTAGAGGTCCCCCGCACCGGGGCTGAGCCCTCATGCACCCACCCGCCCACCACCCCGGTGACACAACAACCAGGACCCAAGGCCCCAAGGCCCAGCCAGAGCCCCAGCCCAGGGGCAGACCACCCCCAGACCCCCAAGCCTTCATGCCTATCCCGGACCCACCCAAGGGCAGCCAGGCTAGCAGGCCAGTAACCAACGTCTGCCAGCACAGACCTTCCCCATCTCATCCCCTATGAGCAAAGACTTTGGTGACAGCAGGAAGGAAAAACTCCCTTTTAACAGGAAGAAACCTCTGGCAGAACCAGGCTATGAACGGACAGTAAGTGAAGAAGAAACAGTCAGTCCATGTTGAGAATCCCCCAGCAGCCCGAGGTGCCTGTAGCTCAGGTGGCAGAGCAGGTCAGCCACTAATCAGAAGGTTCGATCCCAGGCTGCCTCCTGGCTGCATGCCAAATATCCTTGGGCAATATACTAACCCCATGTTGCCTACTGGTGGTGGTCAGAGGGCCCGGTGGCGCCAGTGTCCGGCAGCCTCGCCTCTGTCAGTGCGCCCCAGGACAGCTGTAGCTACAATGTAGCTTGCCATCACCAGTGTGTGAATGAATGGGTGAATGACTGAATGTAGTGTGAAGCGCTTTGGGGTCCTTAGGGACTAGAAAAGCGCTATACAAATGCAGGCCATTTACATCTTTCACCATCTTACAATGCTTTGATTGCAGACATTTTCTGTGAATGGTACTCATGGCCATTGATCCATTGTCATGATTAAGAAACTGACCTCACAGACCATTGTTCATTCAGTGTTGCTGGTTTCAGTCAGTCAGCTGAGACTGAAGAACTTGAAAATGTTATGTCCAGATGAACAGAACCACGGTTTTGGGATTTCCTGACCTGGATGATTGAGCATGCGTTAAGACGTATATAGCTTCATTAAAAAATCCCTGACATACTCTCACAGCATAAACATGACCTAAAACATCCTGATATGGTTACAGTTCTACAGGCGGATAGAAGGAAACCAAACAAACTAATTAAAAGTATATCAGACTCAGTCTTTTGCACATGCTCACATGGCTCATTGTGTTTGAACACGACCCAAAGACAAACATTAATCTGACCCACCAACTAGAATAATTTGATTACTCAATACTTCAACTGAAATAAAAGTTAGACAAACTTGACCTGAGAGAAGAAAATAAGATTATTAAAAGTTCAGTCAACTGGACCTTTGGATTCTGTGATCTCAGAGCTACTAAAAAGAAATGTGCTGTTTTATTTTAGCAACTTTTAGCAACTTGAACAAACTCAACTGTTCATGTTCTAGGTTCCTCTGAAATAAAATTAGGTTCATTAGGATTAGGTCTGGGTTTCCTCTGATCAGGTTTTTTGATCTTCTGCTGTTTTTAGATCAGAGCTCCTGACCCTCAGGTTTTACAGGATTGGTCTAATCACTGGGGATTCTGGTTTTCTCATTAACATCATGTCATTGCAGCAAATAAACAGTAGAATCCAAAACCCTTCAGATCCAGAGACGATGATGTTGTAACACTCTGATCCTGATTCACTCTGTTTCCTCAGTTCTAAATATCCTCTCATGTTTTATAGATCTAAGACATCTGTTCAGGATCAGCTGTTAGACCTGTTGGATGATTTGGGAGAGGAGGAGCTGAAACTTTTTCACTGGTACCTGCAGAATGTACCTGTAGGTGATTTTCCAACCATGAAAAAAAGTCGTCTGGAGAAAGCAAGCAGAAGGAGAACAGTGGATCTTATGATGGCGACATATACTAACAATGTGATGGAGGTGGCCAGATTAATTTTAGAGATGACAAAGGAAGGTCAGTATGGAAAAAAAACACCTGGTCCAGTCTACAGACACAACTGTTTGAGTTATTTCACAAAATGTCTTTCAGAGCAGTTTCAGTTTGACTTTATTTTCTTTAACTTGTTTTTTCTCCACAGCTGATATTAGTGAACAAAAGAAAAACATTTTCAGGGGTTTTTTTTTTCCTGGAGTCAAGTCATTCAATTTTTACTTCTAAAATGGCAAAATGATTTAAAATGCAACTGAACAGGAAATTGCTCAGCATCAGCAGCTTCAGCAACACATAGGCATTCAGTAGATTGTCTGAGGAGACATCTGAAAGATCAGCGCAGAGTTACTTATTGTGAATTGCAAGATTAAATGTGTTGGTCATAGTAAACACTTTATCAACTTCATCACAAAAAAATCTCGGGCCCCTTCTCCATTTCCCTTCACTTGGTCCCCACAGGGCTTTACGTATCTGGGAATTAGGGTCACACCCACCTTCGACCAGATGTATAAAATTAATTTTAGCCCCAAATTTTAGCAGGTCAAATTAGATTTGGAGAGACTATAATCCTTACCTCTATCTTGGCTCGGACATATCGCTCTTCTGAAATACAGATGGTTCTGATGCTCTTCACAAACAAAATTATTCAAACTCTAAAAGGCTGGTTTAGCTCCTTTATTTGGGCAGGGAGGAAACCGTGTCTTAAAATATCCACATTATGTTTTTCATCCTCAAAGGGGGGCCTTGATTTCCCAGATATAAGGAAGTATCAGCTGAGCACCCATATGCATATAGCTGCCGATTGGGTACAACAGCCTGCTCCTGTGTGGTTGGATATTGAGAGCTCCAACTTCCCTTTGAAAATTTTTCTTTTTGTGGGAAAACTGAAGACCTTAAGGATTTTCTGTAGCAACCTACTCACATTATCTACTGTTAGAGCTTGGCAAATGGTTCAAAAGCTAGAAGGAAGGGCTCACTTAACATCTCTTTTCACTCCCTTTTCGAATTTTCCTCTCTTTCTGGACCACCGACCCCGGCTTTTGGAACTGGGCTGCCGATGTTTTTTCTACCTTTTCTGACTTAATGGACGGGTCTAACCTCATGTCAGCTAGTTGATAAATACAACATTCACAGGTGCAACTCCTTTAGATATTTACAAGTGAGGGACCATATCCAAAGGCTACAACAATACTTAATAATTAAACCGTCTTTAACTGTGAAAAGCAGATATTTCAGCCAAACCTTAGAACTTCAATAAAATTTGTTATGGCCTGTTAACAGAATTTGGGGTCACCAACACAACTAATTTGAAGAGGACTTGGGAAAAGGAATTACATATAGAGATTAGTGACGAGTGACGAATTCTGGGAGAATGCTAAATCTCTAAGCATCTGTAATAAAGTAAAGGCAATCCAAATTAACATTCTACACAGAGCTCACATATCACCTTGTCAACACCATAAATACACTCAACAAAAATATAAACGCAACACCTTTGTTACTGCTCCCATTCCCCATGGGATGGACGTAGAGACCTAAAATTCATTCCAGATACACAATATAACCATCCCTCCCAAACAGTGGTCACAAATCAGTCCAAATGTGTGG